TTCCTATTTTCATGCTTAGAATGTTGGAGACCTGCTCTAACAGAAGCTAGGTAAACAATGAGAAAAAAATAGAAAAAGCTTCAGGTAATACTGGCAATTAGTGGAGAAAATGCTCATTCACAGTGGATGAGTAGTTAGATAAAATATCATTATAGATACACAAGTATTCTTCAAGAAATATAGTGATTATTAAGAGTATATCATATCCTGGTCTTCACAGCCTAGCATATCATCCTAATACTCAGCATTTGATAAAGCAGACACCATAATTTTGCAACCAGCCTTGTCTACACAGTGTGTTCTAAAACAGACTTACATAGTGAGACTATGTCTCAAAATACACACATACACACACACTATACACACACACTGTACACAATACACTACACACACACACTGCACACAATACACTACACTACACACACTATACACACACTGCACACAATACACTACACTATACACACACTGCACACGATACACTACACACACACACTATACACACATACTGCACACAATACACTACACACACACTATATACAGACACACTGCACACAATACACTACACACACTATACACACATACTGCACACAATACACTACACACACACTGTATACAGACACACTGCACACAATACACTACACACACTATACACACACTGCACACAATGCACTACACACACACTATATACAGACAGACTGCACTCAATACACTATACACACACTATACACATACTGCACACAATACACTATACACACTATACACAACACACACACACTGTATACAGACACACTGCACACAATACACTACACACACACTATACACACACTGCACACAATACACCACACACACACTATACACACTGCACACAATGCACTATACACACAGTATATACAGACAGACTGCACTCAATACACTACACACACACTGCACACAATATACTACACACACACACTATACACACACACTGCACACAATACACCACACACACACTATACACACTGCACACAATGCACTATACACACAGTATATACAGACAGACTGCACTCAATACACTACACACACACTGCATACAATATACTACACACACACACACTATACACACACACTGCACACATTACACTACACATACACACACTATACACACACACACTACTAAAAGCAAGGTGAAAGATCTGAGATTATTTAAACCAAAATTGGAATTCATGCAAAAACTTCTGTTTTATAATCAGAAAAAGGCAAAGTAGCTGCCATTTTATCATTTATTAAAATAAAAGATTTGTATATGTAATTGGCAAGGATTATGGAGACAGAAGTTAAGGGAAATAAACGTATTATTTGCAGATGACACAAAGGAAATATTATTTGCTAACTTTCTTGTAACATCAGGAAACAGCTAATTACAGTTGTGGTTCAAGAACAGAAATTTGAATGAATTAAGGGCCCTCAGTGGTGTCTTTCATGACAGCAATTAATTAGAAGTAGTTGGTTGAGAAAAAAAATTTTTTTAGGTTTTTACGAGAGAGGGTTTCTCTGTATTGTTTTGGAGGCTGTCGGTCCAGCCCGGCCTCGAACTCACAGAGATCCGCCTGCCTCTGCCTCCCGAGTGCTGGGATTAAAGGCGTGTGCCACCAACGCCCGGCGAGCAAAAAATTTTACTCAGGGCAGATTTGTCTTTAGCATCCTATCTGGAGAAAATAGACATAGCTTGTCTCCTCAGGAAAGGTTACACAACATTGAGTGTCTAGCCAAGGTTTTTCTTCCTGTATGGTACCCCAAATTCTCCAAAATGATAAACGTGTTAGTTGAATGATTTACATTGTTAAATATGAGCTAGAAAAAGGGCATTTCTTTTAATTATCCAAGAGTCTCCCACTAAGAGAATATAGTGAGTTATAAAATAGGATTCAGGGTGGCTAATTACACATAGGACTTTTCCATGCTCTTGTATAAAATCAATGTAAATTTGAGACAAAGACTAAAACACTCCTGAAAACATTTCCTGTGTCTGTGTGTACCTATGAATTAAGTTGAAAGCCTGTAGGAAAGAGGAAAACAGACAGTGTATAACTGAGGAGAGGTCTCCACCACAGACGGAGTTGCCAGAGTATAAATCAAGGTAAATTTTCCCATTACATTCTTGAGAGACTCTTGTAGGCACATATGTGGACACACAGGAACATGGGGAAACCCTCAGATGTACACACGACAGCAAGATAACTAATCTGATGCTGACAACATCATTTGACTCCTATAAGATGAAAATGTCTTTGTGTAGACTAAGGAACATGGTTCTCAGGGTTAACTGAGATGGGGAAATTAGAGTTAGGTCTGCGCTATCCAATCTTAAATTATTTTATCATCCAGGAAGAAGTAAAGTCACAGTTTTGGGCTTTTGCAGAGCACATGCTAAAGTTTAGACACGTGCTAAAGTTTAGATGTAACTGTGATCTCAGTCCTCAGAGATGAATGAAGAAAAAGAAAGCAAAACAAACTGCAAGAATTATCTAATGTGAGTGGGTGTACAGGAAAGGGATGCATTGATCTGAAGTGCCTTATCATATCTCATTAATTGAAGTAGAATATATATTATTAAAATATATACTGATATATAATAATTAATTAATGATTGATATATAATTACATGTAAAATAATTAAAACATTGTTGTTATGTAGTATATAACATTAATATAGTATAGAATTAATAACTTTATATACTAGTAACATATAGAGAAAAATAAGAAAATACACATGCCCCAAGGAAATAAATGTAAATCAATTGCACATAGCATATAAAATCTACAGATTGTTGTGTTTGTAAAAAGGAACAATTAACAAAATTAAGTGGAAATTTTCTTATGGATACATTATAAAGGAAAGCATAAAGATTTCTTAAAAGCCAACGCACGGAAAGATATCCTACGTAATTAGTAGCAAAAACAACAGCAGTAAGCTGGTACACTTATATTAATAATAGAGGAAACAGGACTACAGCAAGACCACATAAAATCCAGAAGGGAATACTGTTTGTCATGTTGGTATTTGAGCTGTCTGCCTAAAAAGCATTCTCAAAATATAAAGTCAACCCCTTTCTGCACCACAAGAAAATAAATCCACCTTCTTAGTGGAACTGTTTAAATCTAAATCTCACATTTATAGATAAATCAGACAAAATATCATGAGCTTCACTGAAAATTTGACAAACATAGTTCATTGGTTTGATGTAGTGGCCATCTGTGGATGTTGTACCAAATAATTGGAAAATATTCCTTGTTTCCAAGGACAAGTATTACTTATCAAATATGACTGCACATTTAGCTACTATTGATATAACTAAAAGTAAGTGTATAGGTTATCCTCGCTAAATCTGGTATAGCAAAAATAAATAAGAATCATACATTCTTGAACTTCAAAAACATTCCTACATAATTCATAAAGGAGGGAATCACAGTAAGATTTAAAAAAGAAATAACATTTCCAAGAAAAAACATTTTGTTTGGGAAAGTTCAGGGAAAAACAACAGTAGATACTCTTAATCTAGAGCAGAAAATAAATCTTCAAAATATGTAATACAGAACCCAGATATTCAGCAGAAAAAGAAATGAAAAAATGGCTTATATTTTTCATAAAAGATTTGTTGCTAAGAATTGATAGTTTGAAAATAATTTTAAGTAAATAATTAAGATTCATTTTGTCATGACTATCTTTATGCTGCTTTATCAGGTCATAAAATTGAAAGAGTAGTAATAATTTAGTTAGAAATAAATGCAATCATTTTGTAGACAGGAAATGACTGTTTTGTCTTCTTTTGTAAGCATGATGAGAATTCTATTAATTTATATAAACTAAATCAGTTATGATGGCACATTGTGAAATCATGATCTGGGGTCTCACAGTAGCAACACAAGGGCTGCTTCTCAGTGAATATTTCTCTGTATCGCTGGATAAATATCTCTCTCTCTCTCTCTCTCTCTCTCTCTCTCTCTCTCTCTCTCTCTCTCTCTCTCTCCAAACTAAATCACAGTTCAGTTACATTATTCTCATTTCACAGACTTGCTTCCTAGCTGGCCCAAAGACAGGTGGACACCATAGAGGAAAAGAAACCTGCAATGGAATGAGACACTGAGTTGGAATAAGAAAGGCTTGAATCAAAACGTAGCTGACTGGTGTCCTTACCAATGCGTGTGACACGTGTTCCTCCTCTCTCCCTGTGATTCTTCCCTGATACACAATTTTGCATTTGACAGTTCATTCCAAAGTGAGCAGTGTGCACACATGCCACGTATTAGAGTGAGTTTTAAGGAATGGGACACACCTTATTTCTCTTTTCAATCAGGTATCTGAAAAGCAATTGCCTGTAAAGACAGATGGTTAGGGGAGCAACTGGGATACACATTAGGCCCCTGTTGGTCCTCAGCGACTTTCTAGTAAAGAAGCAGGCAGAAAAGGTACAGCAAAGTTCCCAGCTTGAGTGACACACAGAAACAGCTTTCTCCCCATGATCTGCTACCAGTTTGGAGCCCATGTATTAGGAGGATACTCCTTCTTCCCAACAGCAAGTTCCCTTTGCAGTATCCTTGGGGATACACCAGACTGGAAAGCTTGAATGTGAAAGAAAATCTACCAGTGGCCAGCACGGAATGTAGCTCACCACTCTCAGGAATGTAGAATTAAGAACATTTAGAAGACAGTACAAAAAATATCAATGGAATTCAGGGGTGTTCCAGGTGGAGAGCTGAATGTGAGAGAGCAGGATCGGGAGGAGGATGAGGATGGGGAGGAGGAGGAGGATGGGGAGGAGGAGGGCAGGTATAGATGAAGGTCGAGAGAGAAGGAAAGAATTGGGTTTTCAGATTAGTAAGAATTGTATGCCAGATCTCTGTTGCAAAATATGGCAGGCGCATTGCACAGCACAATTCAACACTTTGAAGCAATAATATACTTGTAACAATTTGCCTTCCTGTGTGTTTAAGACAGGAAGCATTTTATTTGAATCTCTTACCTGAAGCAAATCTCTCCCTGAAATTGTTCATGATCTCAAATCTCTTCAGGACTCACTGAAGCAAACAACACAGGTCTATCACACGTGGCTCCTGACACCTCTACTGGTAACTATTGTCCTTGTCTGACTGGTTCAGCTTGTTTAAAAATCTAGTTTTCATCACCCTGGAGGGTCATATGGAAAAGAAGGCTTTGTTCTGACAGGACAGATACAAAATTGAAGCCACAACCCTACCAATGAGTTAGCTTCTGTGTGCTGTGAGAAGTCTGTGCCAAACCGTTCCAGAGCAGTATACAAACAGAGAAATGTTTTTGAAAATACATGCGCATAAGGTAGGCACTTTCTTCCCCAAATCATGTTGTTTGTGTTGGTATACAGAGAGGACTCAGTGACTCCAGTGTCAGGAGCTGAGGGGAGCCTGCAAGTCTCGTCCACCAAGAGATTACAAATCACTATGTTCCTTTTTGATTTTAAGCTTAGAAGTGATAAACCTCGGAATGTATAGTAAATTCACAAGAAAACAAACCACCAAAGGAAAATATTTTTCAAAGACCACAATGAAATAGACCAGGCATATCTGTTGTTGACTTTAAGCCATGTGTGGAAACTCTGTGGCAACTGAAGCCAATATGCACTTGGCTCCAGGTAAGGGAGGCTCAGCCAAAAGCAGGAATATGATGCCATCTGTCGTCCCTTTCTCTTTCTGTCTGCTCTTTAACTTTATTAGAGTTTCTCCTAAGATCGATTTCTTGGGTGCAAATGTGTAGAATAGAGCTTTCATAATTATGTTCACTTTAAAAACTGCATGTGAGAAGGTATTTACTTCGTCTACATTTCAAAACTCTGCATTCCTCACGCATATTTTCTCTTATATATAGATAAGCATGCTAGTTTTCTGTTATTACAACAAAATATGGAGGTAAATCTTGTTTTAAAGGGCAACACTTATTTGCCTCAATGTCTCAGGGGTTTTTAGTCAATAGGTTCTTGGACCCATTGTGTTGGACCCGTAGTACACAGCACATCACCACTGGGGTTTCATTTCTCTCAAGATAGCTGAGGAGTAGCAGCAGCAGAGAGGGGGTGAGAAGGACAGAGATAGAGAGAGGAGGGTAGAGGGAGAGAGAGAGGAGAGGAAGAGAGAGAGAGAAAAAGGGAGGAACAGATGAAGACAGAGAGGGAGAGAAAGAGGTGAGGAAGAAGAGAGAGAATTGAGTTCCAGCATACTCTTGAAGAGAAGAGCCTCTACAGGGATAGGTAGCTCAACCTTGAAGAGAGTGTGCTGCCACAGTGAGAAACGCTGACACCCTTACATTTTGGTGATATTTTTTAATTCTTTATATTTGCCTATTTTGTGTGTGTGTGCTGGGATTGAATCCAGAGTCTTGCATATGCCAGGAAAGTGCTCCAATATGAGCTACATCCACAGAACTCTACAGAGCACAAGGGATTTATGGTAATTTTATTTGTAGCATTTATTCTTCATGTAAGCTGAACACATAAAGTATCTGGAGTAATTTTTTTTTTAAAACAAGGCATTATTAGAAGAAAGTACCCCTAAAACTGGAATTATTTGTACTCATAAATCTCTTATTATGCCTTAAGGCAAGACTACATAGAGTTTATTGGGTGGGCCTAAATGAGCTGGGTTGTGTAAATAGGAACAATCTAACCTTGGTAAAACTGGAAGATTATGGTTAGAACAGTCTGATAGTAATTATTCATCAACAGGAAAGGACATGAAATTAACCTTGTACTGTGTTTCCTTTGGAAGTATGCCCTTTAATGCTATAAATACCCTTGCTTAACATGAGTTTGTAACTATTTTAGTAGAAACTTTTATTAACAATAAAAGCAAGTGGCAGTTATGCTATTTTTGTGATTTATACTTTCATGGATTGTTTTATGCATTTATTAAATAATGACATTCTTTGCATCTGTAATTAGCATACTTTGTCTTCGGACAAAACATTTATGAGCAATGATAAAACAATTGCTACTGAGTTTGTATATGAAAGACAAGGAACCATGCTGGGTGTGTATGTATATATTTATATGTGTGTGCTTGTGTGTGTATAAATACAATATGTGTGTGTGCACATGTGTACATTTATATATGTGTGCTTTATCTCTCACTGTGTGTGTGTGTGTGTGTGTGTGTGTGTGTGTGTATGTGCCAAGCCCCATGTGTGAACTTCAGAGGACCATCTTCAGATCTGAGTTCTCACCTTTCAACCATGTTTTGAATTAGGCCCTCTTCATAACTGTGTAAGTCAGGCTACCTCCTCCATAAACTTCTGTATTCTCCTGTCTCTGCCTCCCATCTTCCCACAGGTGCATTCTAAGATTAGAAAGGCCTGCAATACTGCTGCTGGCTGCTTTTATGCTTGGTTCACAAGAATGTCAACTGCGCTGTTCATGACGGCGCATGCTTTTAACCCCAACACTTGGGAGGCAGAGGAAGTCCGATCTCTGTGAGTTCAAGGCTAACTGGGTCTACAGAGCAAGTTCTAGGACAGCCCGGAATACACAGAGAAACCCTCTCTCGATAAATGAAAACAAAAAAGTCAAATGTCTCCCTAAAAAGTTCCTCTGATCTTACTTAAAGAATTGGTGCCCAAGTCCACATCGTTTTTCTCTGAGGCTATCACCTCCCCCACTCTATAGCAGATGAGATTATTTGTTCAAAATGCCTGCTTATCAGGCCACACTCTTCCTCTGAGTCTGACAAAGGCATCACCATTGATTGGTCTTGGACGGAGGGAAGAAGCTGACGATCACTTCTGAAACTAAATGCAATGACTCGTGATCCAAGCCTTGAGATCGACGCCCATGCGTGTTCTACATATGCTGTGCATGCCCCTCCCTCTCTGCTTAATGTCTCTTCACAAAACCGTTTGAAGCAGAGACACCTACCCACGAAGCTGCAGGTTCCAACAGCATCTGCCAGACCTTCAGCAGCTGACTATTATCAGGCAGGGCGTGGTGAATGGAAGTGGCAATGCCCTGCTCTTGTGGAGGGTGTGGCATGCACTCCCTGCGGTGTGTCATGCACAGTTTCTGCCTGGTGCTACAGCATGTGTAGCAAAGCAATTGGAACCTCTCCATATCTTGGTGGAAAGTGCACAGAGTGGGTTGTGAGTATTGTGTGTTATGATGTGTATAGCTCTGTTCATGGTGAAGTGAAGAAGACAGGGATATTTCTTGATAAAGTTATCTGAAAATCAGGTGTGAGACACACTGCTCTTACAGTAGAAGAAAGTTGTTTGTCTTGTCCTTCACTTCAGTTAGGGATGAGCAGAAAGGGATCAATAGAATACGAAGTCTTTGTAAACCAGAACTTTTAAGCCATCAAATGTTTTATGTGTTCAAACCCAGGATAAAGGAGCAATAAATTGAAATTGATGTTTCCAAAGCTTGTCCAAGCCAAGCCTGTGCTTGTTAGTGAAATTAATCCAATCACTTTACTTTGAAATCTTGTGTAGTTACTGAGGAACAAACAAGTATGAAAGGTTCATTGAAGACCAGACTGGATATGTGCACAATGGACTTTGTTCAACAAAGGCAAGAGTGACACTTATATCCAGGCTTTTGATTTGGAGCTTAGCTTCAGAGAGGGATATTGCTACTCTATAGTTCCAGCAGGATCATCTTGAGCCCTGAAGACTTCTCTCCATTGCGTTCTACTCCAGCCTAGAATGCATGACTTCTACTTCTCATTGTTGTTGACAGCACTTGATTCTCTTGGTTAGATCCATCTTTCACACTTTAAATATTTAGAGTTTTCTCAGTAACACAGTAGCTTGACAGGCTGGTAGAGTATCAACTGGTCATGTGAAACTCCCATGAGAGGTATGGTAGTCTAAGTTGTAGATAATGGAATTTAAACAATAGTTACTACCCTGGCTGTTTTATGTGCATGGATAGGCTGTCCTTTTGAGGATAGCATACTCAGCATCCTGGCACTTATCCCCCTTTCTGACCACTGAACAATGGCAATGGCTGAGCAGCCTTTCTGAATACAGATGCTGGATGTCAGAATGGCCCTGAAGGTTCTGAGCCACCTACCAATCGACTGGCAATGAATTGTGTAATGAGACATCCTTTTAAAAACCCCATTTAAAAATCACAGTTCTTGGCTTCCTTCTTTCTTTTAATAGCACCCAAATATTAAATAAAACCTAACCTGGGGCCTGGAGAGATGGTTCTATGGTTAAGAGTATTGGTTGCTCTTCCTGAGGACTCAGGTTCAATCCCCAACAGCCACATGGAAGCTCAATAACATCTGTAACTCTAGTCCCATGAGGTCTTCTGCCTTCTTTTGACCTCTGGAGGAGCTGCACACACATGGTACACAGACATATATGCAGGCAAAATATCCACACACATGAGACACACTTGGAAATAAATATATGCTGGCTATGAAAAACTTAGATACATTCCTGTATAGTAATTCAAGAGACATAGGTCCCATGGTTAAGAACAGGCATTCAGAGCACAGAGACTTAGGGATCTATACTAAGTTGTAATAAAACAATAGATAAAAGTCTCCCTTGAATTTTTTCCTCAGGTTTACTCTCAGGTTTAGGAACATTTATCCCTTGTCAGCTTTTTAGGAAAATCTGGAACTCTGAGAAAACACCACGTGTGGGTGAATGGTGGTCATTTCTTAGTGTGCTGTGACAAGGTGTACTCTGGCTATTTAAGGTTTTACACAAGTGTTAGCCTAGCAGTAAATACTCCTCTGGCTTCTTCAAGTGGCCACATTAAAGCTTTCAGTCAGTGAGTCCACTCTGGTCAAATTAAAGATGATATTTTATTGGCAGAGGGCATGTTTTCAAAGAGCTTCAAAGCAAATACCCTTAAATTGGAGGAGAGGAAAATTTTATAAACAACAACAAAAACCCCCCAAACCAGAGGAAGATGCTCTGCAATCATAGAAACATTGCCTGTTGTGGTTATTAGCTCAGGGTTCTGAGTGTCGGCAACTGGACCAGTGGGAATTCCACTGATCTGGAAAAACTAGTGTGTGTCTGACCTTTAAAGCAACATTAAAGCTTCCAGATGTTGACAGAAGCTAAACACCTGTGTACAGCTCCAAGGAAGGGACATTTGT